AGAATGCGCAGAATTAAAAGAAATACTCAATTCATCATTTCAAAACCCAAATGATCTAAAGTACTCCAAACATCAAAAGTGTAAATTCGGCTTCGTCACCAAAGCACCCGTGGCAATAAACCCTTCGGCCCTAAAACGAAGAAGCAACACGACATTCGCTACAAAAATTCGACGAAGGGTCTGAACAGCAAATAACACGAAACTTAAGTAAAAGAATGAAAAACTGGAACGAAAAGGGTGTCTGTTTTGTTCTCGATTAGGCAACTCGACACAACGTGTATCTGTCACTAGGCGATGCCGCATAACGAAGTTACAGGAACAAACTACCGCACGTAGGTCAAGTGTCTACGCAGACACTACGTGTTGTTTCTGAAGCTGACACAGTTGAACGACACGGGGGTAGAACGACATCGGTAGTATCATTTGCACGTTTCGATCGATTCGATCGGCAGGATAGTTAGAAGGCAAACGAAAATACGTGTCGATGGAACTGTCAATAAAACGTGTGGTAAAACCTTTAGCTATCGGTGTGACGTATAGAGGTACAGTAAATGCCACTGGTTCGCTATCCGGCTAGAAAGACGGCTAACGATTTTCGGAGGGAAAAAAAAGGGTTTTTTTCTCGTGTCTACCCCCGATTCTCGTTGATATGCGGATGTGGCAGACATACGGGTACCGATATTGTCCTCCGTATCGCTCACTAGCGAATCCTCGGCGTCGGTCAGGTCCTCAAAAGGGAAATTGCAGCTCGGAGACGTCAGCCCTATCGAAAGAACACAGACAAATAGGACAGGGATCGTTATATCGACGGGGCAATGTGTGCAGCATCTGTAATCGACGATAAGATGAGAACCTTATCGTCGTCGCCGTTATTCGTAGAGGAAGACAGACCTGTGTTTGTGTCATTGTATCGAAAAGAATCGAGTTAGCACGGGTCAAGGCACCGAATCGCTAAATCGCTGGACATAGATTTTATACGAACGTTCCTTTGCCGCACAGTGGGCCGCTAACGGACAATCGAGTCAGTTAACCTCGTCGACGTGTTTGGTCAATGAAATTTTCAACCTGACGTTGCCGAAGATAAAAGAGACGCTCCGGTTTGGATAGCGTGGGTTTGGCTGCTTTTCGGTTGTGTACGGACAATTTAGTTTGTAATCGTTATCGACGATGGGTTTCGGGCTTTATGAGATGTGACTGATGTATTGTACGGACGCGGGACTTCCTTAAAGAAATTGTTGAGAAAGGCTAACATTTGATCGGTTTTGGATACTTTCGAGTCGAGGGTTTTCAAGTTTAGATATCGACTTGAAATTTGATAACTTGAAAACCTGATATAATACTTGAATACTTGAAAACTTGATACAATACTTGAATACTTGAAAACTTGATATAATACTTGAATACTTGAAAACTTGATATAATACTTGAATACTTGAAAACTTGATACAATACTTGAATACCTGAAAACCTGATGTAATACTTGAATACTTGAAAACTTGATACAATACTTGAATACTTGAAAACCTGATATAATACTTGAATACTTGAAAACTTGATATAATACTTGAATACTTGAAAACCTGATATAATACTTGAATTCTTGAAAACTTGATATAATACTTGAATACTTGAAAACTTGATATAATACTTGAATACCTGAAAACCTGATGTAATACTTGAATACTTAAAAACTTGATACAACACTTGAATGCTTGAAAACTAGATACGATACTTGAATACTTGAAAACTTGATATAATACTTGAATATTTGAAAACTAGATATGATACTTGAATACTTGAAAACTTGATACAATACTTGAATACTTGAAAAATTGATATAATACTTGAATGCTTGAAAACTGGATATAATACTTGAATACCTGAAAATTTGAAAAATTGAAGTCTAGAAAATTTAACAACTTAACTAGTTAAATACTTGAAAACTTGAGAAACTGAAAAATTGAAGAATTGAAGAATTGAAAATTTGAAAATTTGAAAACTTGAAAACTTGAAAACTCAAAAACTAGAAAACCTGAAAACTTGAAAACTTGAAAACTGGAAAACTTGAAAACTTGAAAACTTGAAAACTGAAAAACTCAAAAACTCAAAAACTAGAAAACTTGAAAACTTGAAAACTTGAAAACTTAAAAACTCCAAAACTAGAAATCTTGAAAACTCGAAATCTCGAAAACTTGAAAACTCGAAAACTTAAAAACTTGAAAACTTGAAAACTTGAAAACCTGAAAACCTGAAAACTTAAAAACTAGAAAACTTGAAAACTTGAAAACTTGAAAACTGAAAAACTCAAAAACTCAAAAACTAGAAAACTTGAAAACTTGAAAACTTGAAAACTGAAAAACTCAAAAACTCAAAAACTAGAAAACTTGAAAACTTGAAAACTTGAAAACTGAAAAACTCAAAAACTCAAAAACTAGAAAACTTGAAAACTTGAAAACTTGAAAACTTAAAAACTCCAAAACTAGAAATCTTGAAAACTCGAAATCTCGAAAACTTGAAAACTCGAAAACTTAAAAACTTGAAAACTTGAAAACTTGAAAACCTGAAAACCTGAAAACTTGAAAACCTGAAAACTCGAAAACTTGAAAACTCGATAACTCGAAAACTCGAAAACTCGAAAACTTGAAAAACACAAATTTTCCTATTTTCGAATCGACAAATTTTCAAAGTTACAAATATTAAAATTTTCAAATATAAATAAAAAAGTTTAATCCATAAAAGGAATCAAATGAAAGATTCGTTCTCCACAATTATCATTTTCCAAAGGAAATCCTCGCAACGAGTGTACGTGAAAATGAAATTATAACTGAATCGTTGAATAATGTATAGACTTCTTCGTTCCTGCGGAACCATATTTTCTTTTTCCTTCGGTTACGAGCTAATTAACACTGAAATATGTAGCTACTTCGTCAAAGATGGGGTGGTACAGCAATATGAATAGAATCGATAACACTGACAAATGGTGTGCATGGTAACATATAAATTGACCATTGAATATAAGTATCTCGTAAGAAATAAATGGAGAAGATGGAAGATGTTTGGTACAAAGCTTCGATCTCAAGGAGATTTGGAATTCGTCCAATTCTTGTACGTTTTAGTCAATATATTCATTTCAACTCAAGTTTTATATACAATGTAACATATTTAAACAATTATTTTTTTTAATGAAAGAACGTTTACATACAGAGTGTCACTTATATCAAGCACTTAGGTTATTTTCACTTTTATTAAGCTTGTAAATAAATTATGAGGATCTACAAAATTTTAGAATGTTATCAAAGGTAAAAAACGTTCTGATAACATATAAGCTGTTATTTAAATCTATTTTTAATAACAGTGAAAATTCAGGTACACGATTTAAGAGACACCTTGCATGTAACGAGAAATAAGAAATTTCGTATAGAAGTCATTTATAAAAATTTATTAAGAACTACACTAGACTGCGATATTCTGTTTTCTATGAAATATAGTACTGCAAACTATACTACGTCAAACCATGAGTTGACGCGTGACTCAAAGTAAAAGAATAATATTGGCAACAACAAATAAATTTGTTAATTAGGATATTGAAAATTAAGAATAATATTGACAATAACAAATGCTAAATTTGCACTATCTGACTGTCGAGACAATGGCCTAAAAGATGTGTGATTCGAGCCAATATACGAAAATACATGAGAGGAGTCCATTTTCTTGTTCTGACCAATTGCTCACTTAAACCCATCACTCTAACGCGCTAACTCATGGGTTGACAGCCGTACGCTTTACGCTCCTAATACTATAAATAATTAATATTCTCTGCAACGTTAAGCAAATATACTACAATTTTTCTCAAAGACGAAGCTTCGCACAGAAAATTTCTGATCCATATTTGTTTGTTCTGTACAAGGTGTTTCAAAAGATCGAGAACTTGAAGGGTATACCAGCAAAATGGAGGGAAAGTGGTAAACAATTGTTCCGCAAAAAAAAAAGGGAGAATTACGAACCTCGAAATTGATAGAACACTTTTTAAGTGTCCTTGTCCTATTTTCATTCACATACTGAAAAATCGATAAATATGGAGTACGTATCATACTATGGTAGCTTTCCTGGGGAAAATACTCCTGCATTTTTGAGGGGCTAATTAGATCAAATTTTAAAATTCTGAAATATTAAAATATTCAAATTTTTTATTACAGATGCTAAAAGTTTTAGACTCAACTTTTTTTAATTTTGAGATTTTTAAATTCACTAAATTTCAAGTTTAAAATTGTATAATTTTGCTGATACGTAAATTTTTACCTGAATTAAATCTTACATGACATCACATCTATAAAACACAGCACACTTCCTTAAAAATAAAGATGAACAAATTAAAACACCCTTCGTTAAGGCTATCATTTAAATCTTCTAAGACGTTAAATGCGTCGAAGAAACTCACTGCAGAACTCCTCCATTTTCCTCTAGAAGTCTCCCTACAGCTTTCCTTAATTAAGCTAATACGACTTTCTCATCTTACAAACTCCATATCAAAATATTCCAAGTGAGCGTGCGTATAAACAATAAAATAATAATCCACCCTTATTTACAAAGAATTTGACCTCCATTTTGCCCGGTACTTATCCTCAAAGTTATGAACTTTTTAAACGATAAGAAAAGGGGAACTGTTCGAGTCGAATCTCGCCAGTGGGTCATTTCTTCAAGTTTGAACTCGACAAAACATCAAAGTGCTCTCACAATCAGTGAAAATCTTTCGGTGTACGCGTTCAACGAGTTTCCAGCTGCTGGCCGAAATGTTGGACGCGTAAAAAGCAAGCAAGCAAGCAGTGGCAGCTTCTAGAGTACAGTAACGTGAACGGGGCACTCGGATCGGGTTAAGATGTAGCACAGTATAGAATGACATGAAAGTGTATCGGTGTGTGTGCGTGTGTGTATGTGACACATATGGCATGATGAAACAAGGCTCCTGCGGAAGTGATGATTAAAGGCTAGGTCAGGCTTACCCTCGCTGTCGGCCTTCAAGTAGAGCTGCCCCTTTGGGCTCAGACACTGCCGATACTCGGTCGTGTAACATTCTGTATTCATTCAAACCAAATTTCAAGTTATCAAAATTTGTCGTGTACCGATGCTCTTTCCACGCGTCGACATTAAATAGGGGTTACGTCAGATATAACGAGGGGTTGCTTTAATTGATTATGACAGTTAGCTTTAATTATACTGTTTCAACTGGATATTTTCTTTAATTAGATGGGGGAGTAATTTAGTGGAATCGCGAAATTGTTCTGGTTTGCAGATGGACTGTTTAGACTGTTTAGAATGTTTATCATGTACTACTGTGTTGTGTTTAGGATTATGTTATGAGATATTATAATATTATAGAACATTATAATGTTGTTATAGGATATTATAATATCATAGAATATTATAACGTTGTTACAAGATATTATAATATTACAGAAAATTATAATGTTGTCATACAGGGTGTCTCACAACTAGTGCCCTTGAAAGGAGCGGTAGCTAACATGCCTGAAATGAGGGTTACCTGATTCTGAACAATATTTCCCTTTGCAAAAATGGTATGTGAAGATTCGTTTTTGAATTATTAAGACGGACCAATCAGAACGCGAGGATCACACATGCGCAGATGCGAGAGCGACAGTTTCGAGCTAGCGGCTGAGTGGTAAATGCAATATATAGTACAGGGGTGGCCAAGTTCCTTGATAGTCAAAGCCATTTTTCAAAGTTTGAAATGTTTCGCGAGCCGCAATTTTCGATGGCGCAGTTTTCGATGAGTCATATTATTCTTAACTTGGACGGAAATGAAATTTGTTTCAACGTTGCACTTAGTCTTTCATATTTGTCGTCAGTAATTTTGAAACACATATGGAACGATAATAATTTTTTAAAATATAATAGCACAAAAATGAAAAGGGAACTTGGTACATTTATCGAGAGCCACAAATAATCCTTCAAAGAGCCGCATGTGGCTCGCGAGCCGCAGGTTGGCCACCCCTGATATAGTATATTCAACGCTTGGTGAGTGCAACGCGTAAGAAATCAATGCGTGGTGAATGTAACGCGTGGTAAATACAAGGCGTGGCAAGTACTATGCGTGGTAGGTGCAGCACATGGTAAGCAACGTGTGGTAAATTCAATGCGTGGTAAATACAACGCGTGATAAATACAATGCGTGGTAAAGAACGCGTGGTAAATACAGTGCGTGGTAAATACAACGCGTGGTAAGTACTACGCGCTCAGCCACTAGGCTCGAAGCTGCGCTCTCGCGTCTGCGCATGCGTAATCTTCGCGCTCTGATTAGTCCGTGTTTTTCCTTAATAATTCAAAAACGAAGCTTCAAATCCCATTTCTGCAAAGGGAAATCTTATTCAGAATCACGTCAGCTACCTCCCATTTCAGGGACCTACATTTGTTGTGAAACACCCTGTATAATATTATGATGTTATGATACCTTATAGAGTTATAAGAATATTATAATATTATTGTAAGATATTATAATGTTATAGAATAGTATAATGCTATTATGGAGTATTATAATATTGTAGAATACTATAATGTTTTTATGCAACTCTATAATGTTATAGAATATAATAATAATGTACTGTAATTTTTGCTGTACCTAATTATTATGTACCTACTCTTTCTGTTCAGGTGTATTTTAAAACGTATTTTTTTGTCGTGTAAAAGGAGTAATCCTTCCTCTTTTCATTAATAGAAATTAACGATTATGATTACCGAAATTTTTCTACCAATTTTTCTTTTCTATATTTTTTCCATACAAATGACGTTTCACATCTCCTATCTCTTTAACATCGAAAACTCCACGCGATGAAGCCGAAAATAAATTTTCATTTCCGCTACGTATTTCTATGGTTCAATATCGTCACGTTCCAATTAACTGAAAGATTAATCACCTGCTACAGTATATGTAATAAATACGTAGGAAGGTTATAAAAACGAATTGCAATAAACGAGACATGTTATCCAATAATTCCCAGTTTTACAACTCGACGTTTTAAAAATAAACAGGTTTCAAACAGTACATTTTTAAATTGTAATAAACTCGGAGAGGAGCCAATTACGGTCGTCAATATTTTCTGCATGAACGAGGAAGAAGTTCAGAAGCAGCAGTTTCAAATTTTTTTTCATTACCTCGTTATTTAATTGACATTCTTGTTCGTGATATAAGTCAAATGTTTAGTATTGACATGATGACTGCCATAGTAAGAGTAACTACTTTAGGGATTGACCTAATTTTTAATACAAAGCTTGTTTAACAATATTACCAAAAAAATTAAATATAAATATTCGATGTTCCTGAAATTGCAGTATGCACTTAAAAAATAATACATTTGATAAATGAACACCTTTATAACCAATAAATGAACGTTTCTATAAAACACTAAATAAAAACATTTATAAAGTAACAAACGTAAACTTTATAAAAGTATTTTCGCATAAAAAACAAAACGTATATTTTCCAAGTTTTACTTTCTAAAAACTACTGCGTGTTTATTAATTTTTTATTTCACCGTTTTTTGCAACAACGAGTATTTTATCTCTCGTTTCGAACAAAATTCATAGATCAATAACAGGGCATATGGTACGCAGCAGTCAACACGTTAATACAGAAATACGAGAAGGTTTCTCGCAAAATTGCGAGGGAAGTAACTTGGCTCTTCTTGAAAATCCAGTAAGCAGAGAAGTTCGCGGATTCAAGAAGATACAACTTTTCCAAGATACAAACTTCTCCGTTCTATTTTCAGGGATACTTTTCTCCCCGACAATTGCGCTGTTCTTATTGATCGATCGGCCAAATTAGTTTCGAGCTTGGAAAGCTAAATGACGATGCACGGTTTCGGTTGTTTCAAAACATTCATTCCGAAAAGTATTAGCAACCGGAAGTCTAGAAAGGATTCGTTTCCTGTTTTCCCATTAAATTAGCTGCTATTTTCCAAACGTGAGCAAAGATTTGTGTAATTTGTAACGTTCTGTCCATTTGAACGAAAATGAACAACAGTGAAAATAATATGTAAATTTAATATCGATAAAATTATTGTGTCTACTATTATTGTATACAGGGTCTACTACTATTGTCTCGCAACTAGTGTCCCGGAAATGGGAGGTAGCTGACGTGATTCTGAATAAGATTTCCCTTTGCAAATATGGGATTTGAAGCTTCGTTTTTGAATTATTAAGGAAAAACACGGAC